TTTCCAGTGACGGTGGTGAAAGCCTGGCAGGGGTTGCCCAGAGAGGGGGTGGAGGCCCCATCCCTGGGACCATTCCAGGCCAGGTTGGACGGGGATCTGAGCAACCTAATCTGGTTAGCGGTGTCCCTGCTCACTGCAGGGGGGGTTGGGCTGGGTGACCCTGAAAGGTCCCTTCTAACCCAAACCATTCTATGATTCTATGAGATGTGGAAGCTGCCTGCGTGTAACGGTAGGGTCCGGGTAGGGGGAGCTGTAGAGACACAAACCCCCTGGGTGGCATGGGGGTGGTGGCTGGGGGGATGTGGAAGCTACCTGCGTGTGACAGTGGGGTCTGGGTGGGGAGCGCTCTTGAGGGTCCCTCTGTGTGTGGCAGGGGGAGCTGGGGTGTGTGTGGGATCCATTCATCGATTGTGACTGGGAGATCAGGGTGGGCAAGGGGAGTGGGGGCTGTGTGTGACAGGGGCATGCTGGAGGGTTTGGGGCAAGGGGAAGTGTGGGGGACCTCTGTGCATGGCACTAGGGTCAGTGCCTTGTGGATTAGCAAGGTGAGGCCTTCCTTCATCACTCTGCCGTAGTAGATGAGGGCAGGGGGTAGGGGAGGATATATTTCAGTCTTCAGGTGAAAACCACACTCCCAACGCTCCTAAGTGAGCAGAACGGGACTGAATCTCGCTTTTATTTCAGTGCCCTAACAGTGCAACGTCTGCTTCTACAAGAGGATGTGGTTCTGGGAGGGAGGTTGGGAGCATGAGGATGGCGGAGAGGATCTCTGCTTAGGGCTGCTACGTTTGTCAGTGTGGGAAGTGAAGTCTTGGGGCTCAAACTGGATGAAAAACCTGTCAAAAAACCCAAAAAAACCAACCAGGCAACGTGTTCTTGTATAATTCTTCCAGTAATCCTGATGCTAACTATTTCACCATTGCACCAGTAAGAAGCAAGTAATGTGATTTGGGTCTTGTATTTTTTATTTAATTTTTTTTTTCAGGTAGTAATATACAGTTGAAGTATTTGTCCCAAAACACAAATTATTTATGTTCCTATCTAGTGAAGAATTATGTGACAAGTTTTTAAGCGAGTGGCAGGAAGGAGCAGGAGCATATTTTGGTGATGGGACTAGCAGAAAAAGTCAGCAGGGTTCTTTCTTTCATGTAAGGTGTTACTGGGCATAAAGGTGTGCAGAGAGTATTCAGGTGTACTGAACCCACAGGAGGTGGCTTTACAGTCTGAAAATACTCTTACCTACTGAAACGAGTAGGAATTTTCAATAAAAACCTTCAGAGCTATGCAAGGGATTTCCTTCCTCTGACTTCCTTTGCCTGGAGAAGGCAGAAAGCCTTTTGCTTCTGGAGGATGTTATTTTTCAAGAATTAGCTTGGAATCTGTCCTTATCTGCACCTCACTGGAGAAGGTGGATGCTGTTCCTCAATGATGAAGTCACAGTGCTGACAGAGTTCATTGAAGAAATATTACCTATTTTTACTGGTAAAAAGATTCTGCTTTTTTTTTTTTTTGTAATACGCTAAAAATTACTCTGGCCAAAGGTAAAGTCCATTTCTATAGTTTGTTTTGGATTACTGCTTTTTTATCTTTAATCTCATGCTGACTAAGAATCTGTCTGTATAAAAGCTGACAGATTTTGTCATTTCTCTGTGTTTGTTGTTACAGATAATGACACCGGATCAGAGTCCAGCAACTTCTCTCATCGACCAAACCATCAGGATGAGGAAAGAGACTGAGGCCCGGAAAGTGGTCTTGGCCTGGGGACTCCTGAACGTGTCCGTTGCGGGCATGATATATACTGAAATGTACGTAAATTGTTACATCCCAGTCAAACAAGCAAAGCATCCTGCTTTGTGTATCCCTAAATATTTCCCGGGACTGAATAGTTGCAAAATGATAACTTGTTTTTCCTTTCAGGACTGGGAAACTCATAAGCTCATACTACAACGTCACATACTGGCCACTCTGGTATATTGGTGAGTCACTGCAGTGTTTCAATTAATTTTCAGGATTCTTCTCTTTTTTCACTTGTCAGCTTTATTGCCGGAGAGGTAGTTTTTAAACCAGCCTTTTTTTTTTTTTCTTGGGTTTTTTTTTTGTTTTTTTGTTTGTTTTTAATTTAAACCAAACCTTTGTTTTGCTTTCTGTTATCTCCCGTGAAACTTGGAATTTCATCTGTTTTAGTGACAGGTAAGGAGTGTCAACAGCTTTCTTAGATAGATCATTAAAGGGCGTAAATAACTTGTTTGGTGCATTAAATCTGGTTAACCTTTGGAGAACACTGCAGATGGTACTACCATATTGTCCTGTGGGTGTGGATGGCGTTTCACAATAATGAAAGTTTGTTTTAGGTGAGGAGACTAAGCTAGCTGTACCAAACAGAGGGTGAAAAGGAACAAGAGGGAGAGAAAAATCATGAGATGATTTGACGGAAGATGATGTTTGAGAAATACCATGAAACTTTATTGCAGTAATTTATGTCCGTTTTGGACAATAACCATTTAAAAGTTAAATTTTAGCAATATAAATTAATCTCAAAGTAGCAAGGAAAATGATCTCTGATGATTCTTGCATAAGAAGGTGAAGAAATCTTAGGTACTTGTCCAAATAGGTCATTATTAGTGCTATCAATAATTACCAATTTTTAATGGCCTGTTTTTGCAAATAATATACTTGTGTTATTCCTCACGCTCAAGCCATGGTAAAAACTCCCTGTGTTTCTTCTAGAACTGGCACTTGCATGTCTGTTCAGCCTGAATGCTTTATTTGATTTCTGGAGGTACTTCAAATACACAGTGGCACCAACGAGTTTGGTCATGAGTCCTGGCCAGCAGACCCTGCTGGGGCTGCAGAATGCAGGTGGGTGTAATAAATCTCTCTGGCAATCTTTTTTTATTCTTTGGTCGTTGTTGTTTCGAGATGGTATCTTTGTCAATGGCAGGATTCTTTAGTGAAGCGAGTTCTGAATTACCTCATCTGCCATGAGCGGTAAGCTAAATTACCTGCAGCACACTAAAATTCACAACATCAAGTGGTAATTTGATGAGTGTTTGTGGGGAGAACTGGAGGGGAAACAAACATGCACGGTGAAAAGGGAGGGGATGATAGCAGCTGCTGAAGGACAGCGAGAGATTTGAACATCGTGAGGTTGGACAAGGAATTTGTAACCTGTACGTGGGACTAGGAGCAAGGCAGAGAGTGCAGGTTTATATTTAGTTTTGATATCCTACCAGTATCACGCTGGGTAATGAGAACCGAATTAGAGAGACAGACAGACCTTCATGTGAAGTCTGAAAATGACAGCCCAGAGACCGGTCGCTCGGAAAGCTCTTGAACATCAAAGCAAAGTTTTAAAATACCGCAGAACCTGACAAGGTAAATAAACCAAAAGCAAAACACCACTTGCGCTCTGCTAGTCTGCCCCTAGGAAGCGGGAAGCAGATGGGAGTAATGCTGTCTCACCAAAGTTTGGGGATCTCATCTGTTCATTTGCACAGATAAATTGAAACGTTCAAAATGGATAAAGTAGGGAGGTAGAGTAGCTCATGAAATAGGTTAGAGAAGCCCCGGGGTTATGCAGGGTGCCTGGTAACATTTAACTGAAACCTGAAGCTGTAGGGTTTGTACTGAGTTGCGGTCGCATGTCTCGGTCTTCTCTTCTTTTCTGTCTGCAGATTGACCTCTGAGTTCTGTCGGGGCCAGATTTTTCTAGTGTCCCTTCTAGCATCTTTATAAAATTGCCTTAAGATAGCGTTGTTTATGTATCGTAGAATACCAGGTTGGAAGGGACGTCAAGGATCATCTGTCTTTTGTTGTGCGTTTAAAGGGGGGAGGAGAGTTCGGGGCTGCTGCATCCACCACGCTCATTCTGTTTTTCCTTCTTGCAGTGGTACAAACGACTCCACCACGTGAGCTGGCAGCAAAGAAAGTCCCGTCTTCGACGCCTTCTCCTCCCATCCAGGGTCAAAGCGTGCTGAGTTACAGCCCGTCCCGCTCCCCTAGTGCCAGTCCAAAGTTTACTACCAGTTGTATCACAAGCTACAGCCCTCAGCTACAGGCTCTGTCAAGCAGCAGCCCTTCTTACGGCAGTCCTGTAACCTATTCACCAAGCAGCAGCTACAGTAAGGTAATGACCAAGACAGCTCCCAAGGGTAGGGTTTGGTCCCTGTTTTGTGCCGTATGCCATCAAAGATGAGCGGCAGCTGGCAGAGAGTTGTGTACGTGTGTGCTTGCTCCTTTTGCAAAGTAGGTGTAAATTCATCCTATTGGGATTTGTCCTTTTTCCCTAGCATCGCTTCATTTGGTTTAGTGTCCGGTTTGTTTCAGAACAAAGCAAAAATAAGAACACCAAAGTGTAAATACGAAGGAGAAAAAAGAAACAACCCAACCCCCAAACAAGAGTCTTTTTTTATTCACGTTGCAAATCGAGGTGGAATTCTGTCTTCCTCATATGACACAAGCGTTTGTTTTTATTTGCCCAAGGTTTCCAGCTTCAGCCCCTCTCCCAGTGGATCACCATACCCCACGAGTATCGGACCAGTGGAAAGCGGTGGGCTGAGGTCCCGTTACCGCTCTTAACCCATTCTGTATAATTCTCCTACTGGCAAAGAAGACTACATGACAGACCTCAAATCGCTGGACACCTTCCTTCGAAACGAAGAAGAGAAACAGCAAAGAGTTCAACTGGGTAAATAAACAGGTTTCTGAAGAGCTTGGTAAGAGCTTGGTGAAGAGCTTGGTGGTGTTGGGCTTATTTGCAAATTCTTTTGTGGATGAGAAAAGTTGCAAAGGATTCCAGCCTACTTGTACTAGCAAATAGACTTAACTCATTGGTGGTAATTACCTGCAACCTTGGTAAAGGCGGCTGCTGACCACTTTAGTCATCTACTGAGTAATTAGGACGTGAGGTAGAACGCCATCGTTTCTACATTTCTCCATGGCTTAGGAGCTTCAGAAAGTTTCCCCCAAAGCATTCCATTGGGTAGGATGTTTGCCGCTGTTGCAGCGTCTGGAAATGTGTGCTGACAGATTGTCTCTGTAATGTTTGTTGGCTGTAGTGGAGTGTGATAAGGTGGCAGGCTGGGCTTTATCACCTCAGTGAGAGGGGTATCTCGTGGAGGTGGCGTTTCAGATAAAGGGGGTGAACTACCTGCCGCAGTTTTTGTCCTGGATGGGGACAATCAAGATAAGGGTGACGTGAGTGGTTACGCAGACTGACTTCAGGGTATGAATTCATGGCAGTTTGTGTTCGTGTCTCTTGTCAAAGCCTTAATACACTGACGTATTATTGCCTATACTGTTGCTTCCAGAATTACTTGGCAATAATTGTATGTGACTGTTTAATGAATGAATCGTTTCAGGAAGTTCAGATTCCAGCTCTCCTTCCAGCAGCCCAACTTTTTGGAACTACAGCCGTTCCATGGCAGACTGCGCACAGATGCTGAGAAAGTTCCAGTATCAGCTGGCTTGCAGGTCCCAGGCTCCATCGGCGCACAAGGACGAAGCCGATCTGAGCTCGAAACAGGCTGCAGAAGAGGTAAATTTGGCAGCGAGGTGGTCAAGAAGCCTCTCAAATACACAGCTTTGCGCGAAGGTTTGGATTTGAGCAGTATCAAAAATGTTGGAGAGAGAAATCCTCCAGCGCTTAGCCATCTTCATACAGCTTGCAAGGCTCCTTGTCACTGTAAATGGACATTTCAAATTCTGAATTGTAGTTGGAAAATTATTTCTCCCTTAGGGAGCCAGGCTTACACTGGATAAAATACATCTGTGATGTACACGTTGTGTTGAAAGCGATCTGTATTTAACCCAGCAGAACAGCTGAAGGGTATAAAGCACCGCCGTTACGCTAGCATCTGAAAGAAGTCTGATGCGAAGGAGTACAATTCGCGTGGCTTCAACTCGATTTGATCCATTTTCTTTACTTCCTACATTAACCTAATGAAGCTTCCCATTCAAATCCCTCTTAAATCAAGCCTACAATTCAGACCAATTTTATCCTGATAGAGCAGAGAGCTTAAAACTGAATTTGGGCTCACGCAAGATGGTTGTACCGTGACTAGAGAGTGGGAATGTCGTGCGTGAAGCTGCTGTAGAAGTCGCACGATACAGCCAGCAGATGTATAAGAATTTGGGGAAAAATGCAATTTGAACTCTGTGCTGTAGTTACTATCAGAAACCATCACAGGCCCTAAAAACTCCATTAAGTTCTTATATGTACTTAATAAACCTTTCCGTAGGTTTGGGCACGGGTGACAATGAACCGACAGCTCCTTGATCACATGGATTCCTGGACCGCTAAGTTCAGAAACGTAAGTCCCGGCTCTGCCTGGTTTTTAAGAACAAGTGCAGCAGAGTGGAGAAGCACCTCCGTGTCCCCTGTGTGCCAAACGAGGTTGGAAGAACCGTGGGGTCTGTTGGAGGGTTGGGGTGGGCTGGTACAACGAGATAAAACCACAGTGCGCTTTGAGAGGGCTGCTGAGGTGTGGTTTTGACCTGACCTCGGTGTTTTGTGTTCTGAAAACTTCACGGTTGTAAAGTTCATCCACTTTTGTATGAGAAACAAAAGCCTCTCAGATATGGCAAGATTTGGTTTGCCTTGCTGTAACTCAGATGGCTCAACCAATGTTTCTGCAGTATTTCCAGGCTTTCTTCTGGGCTCAAAGCATGGAAAATTCCAACGCAAAGGTTGATTTTTTTTTTTTTTTTTTTTCTTTCTGACAGTCCTGAGCAAAAAAGCAGAAAGAAAAACCTTGATCTTACCAATAGGAATTACTATAGCAGAGGAGACTTCATTGTACACAACGGCAGAGTAATTAGTAAATCTATCTTTGAATTGCCCCTTCAGTCATGGCTTCTATCAAGGATGTAGCTTTGCTTGTGTGTTTTGTGGGATTTTTTTAAAGTAATAAGATTGGTGGAGAGTAAAGATAAGCATGAGTTCCACACCAGATTCCTGTTCATAAACCTAGGGCCAGCTTGCTTCAGTTCCCATATCCTGTCACGTATAAATCCCACACGGAGTGTTTATCAGCTCCTTGGTTTCCGGAAACAAATATGAGAGGGATTGGCCTCATCACAGTTATAAATTATCTTTAGGGATGGAGGGCCATGCTTCGTAATACCCCTTTCCTCATTGTTCAGAAAAGCTTTATCTGATACTTGCTAGAGAATTGTTTTTCTGACTCCTTTGCATTGAATTTTCTGGCCTTCTAGAAGGTATTCAGGAGTCATTTACACTCTGCCTAACTTGATATTCTGTTTTCCTTAAGTGGTTGGCTTCAGTGTGTCTGTCATCAAGCTGCTCTGTGATTGTAACGGTGATGATTAGTAGGATGTAAGCTAAAGGTTGGAGTCTTTTTCTTGCTTCTGACCTCTTGAATTTTCGCGGTTTTCATTCCTAGTGGATCAATGAGACTATTCTAGTGCCACTTGTCCAAGAGATCGAGTCTGTCAGCACTCAGCTGAGAAGAATGGGGTGTCCAGAATTGCAGATCGGAGGTAGGGTGAGGCGGCAGCTTTGGAGTTCCCGGTGGTGGTTGGTGGAGGGCGGCTCTGTAGCTGGGGCCTTGGATAGGTGTTACGTACCCTAGCTCTGTTAAATATTAGTTATGTTTCCGCTCCCTGTTGGTGCGGTCTTTGTTGCACATCACGCATTTCATTAAGCTGGAAAGGTTCTTCAGAAGACTTCTGGAAATATTGATGATGTCACACCAATGCTTGTCTCATATAAAGTTCATAAACCTCTTCTTTTAATTAATTGATTTATTTTTTCCTTCTCTAAACTTACTGCTGGGGAATTACAGCCTCAAATTATCCTTGATTATTGTGTATTAAACTGTCAGAAAACATTTCAAGGATAGATGTGCTATAAACTCTCAGTGTCTCCCTATAAACACTCAGTGTTTCCAGTCCTATGTGCTTTTCCCAGTTCTTCCTTAAAATCAGCTGCTTTCTGAAAGAACTAATTATTTAAAAATTCTGATGAACCGGAGTTTTGTTGTTCATGTCACGATACAATTCTGAAGGAACCGCTTCTCTCATTGCTTCAAATTTATATCCCCTTAACCCAGAATTGGATTCGATGTGCTGCATTTAAATGAAACCCACCTTTTGCGGCCTGTTTGTTGTAGTATCTCCTCGAGAGCTGCGTCCCTTGTGATGCCTGTGGAAAAAACCAATCAATTCTGGCCTCATCTCCACCTTGTTACCCTCCTTCTGCTCTTCAAAGTGGATTTTGGTTCCACGTAGCTTTTCTATTCTGTGATGTAAAGCAGACAGCTCGCTACTTCATTGGAATTGGAATGAGCGTTTTGGGTTGCGTCACATGCTAAATGGTTCTAAGACTTCAAAAAATGCACCAAAAAGGAGAGCACTTTGTAGCGGCGCCGGGTAAGGGAGGCTGCTCGGGGTTCTGCGGTGGTCGTAGCTGACCTGTGCCGGCTCTCCTTGCCTTGCAGAAGCCAGCATCAGCAGTCTGAAGCAGGCAGCGCTCGTTAAAGCTCCCCTCATTCCAACCCTGAACGCGCTAGTGCAGTATTTGGATCTTACCCCAAACCAGGAGTATTTGGTCGAAAGGATCAAAGGTACGTGGTGTCACCCTCCGGACTTTAAAACACTTCCATTGCCGCAGTGTTGGTGGCGTCAGGCATTCCTTCGGTGGGGATGTTTGAAAAGCCGTGGCGAGGATCATGGAATGGTTTGGGTTGGAAGGGACCCCCAGAGGTCACCCAGCCCAACCCCCCTGCAGGAGCAGGGACACCTTGAACCACATCAGGTTGCTCACAGCCCCGGCCAACCTGGCCTGGAATGTTCCCAGGGATGGGGCCTCCACCCCCTCTC